ACCCCTGTCCTGTTGCTGTTTACTCTTTCATAGTGTTTGGCAGACTTAAAGTTACAGTAAAGTCTTCCTTTTTTTTAATATAACATACAGGTGTATACTTAACTGCTCTGTGTAATTGAATTGCACAGAGCGGCCCAAACCTCCTCTTCTTGGGTCCACCACCGATACTCCTGGATCCACTGCTGCTGTGAGTTCCCCCATAGCAAGCTGCTTTCTCTAAGGGCACTCCTTTGGGCTTGATCCCGAGCCATGCTGCCTGCATCCATACACACAGACAGCATGGTCTGGCCCTGCCCCTTCATCACAGGTTTTGACTGACAGCAATGGGAGACAATGCCTACTGTTGCTCTCAGTCTATCCTGTGAGAGCAGGGAGAGAAGACAGAACTGCTGCAGATTGGCACAGTGCTGGATGGAGTGACCACTCAGGTAAGTATAAGGAGGGGTGATGGGGCAATACTGATGCAAAACATTTTCACCTTAATGCAGGGAACACATTAAAATAGAAGTGCATGACTGTAAAAAAATAAAAAAATCATACTTACCTAGGTGGAAGCAGCATTGGGATGATGCTGCATCTGGGAGTGGCTGGCTCAGGCTGAGAGGCTAAGCTAGCTGCCGGTCCAGACATCTGGGTGGATCCAACATTAAAGTTGGGATCTCTCCTGAGCTTGGACTCAGGGACATATTTACCACAAGGCAAGCAAGGCATTTACCTAGGGCAGCAGTTTTCAGGGGGGGCAGCACCGCCCCCTGGAAGAAGGAACACATGCCGCATGAGGACCAAGTGGGAGCCAAGAGAGCCTGTGGGCTGCTTGATGTATGCAAAGCCCAACTCTCGTTCCTGGTAATGTCCGGAGCTGTGAAGGTGAGTGTCTATGAGTTTCTTTCTCTCTCTCTTGCCAGGGATGGGAGGGGGGTGGCAGCGGGTGTATAGGGGAGGCGGTGGTAGTGGAAGGCTCTCTTGGGGGGGGGTTGGTTGGTGTCAGGCTCTCTCCTTTGGGGGGAGTGGGTTGCTGGTTGGTGTTATGCTCTCTCCGTGGTTGGGGGGGGGGGGTGTTGGTCAGTGTCAGGCTCTCTTCTTTGGGGGATTGTTGGTCGGTGTTATGCTCTCTCCATGGTGGGGGGGGGGGGGGCTGTGTTGGTTGGTGTCAGGATCTCTCTGTGGGGAAGGTTGGGGCGGCCAATTTTTGTGTTGCCTAGGGCACTACTGCTTGGACTGGCTCTGTGATGTCGGCTGACATAGGACTTTAGCCCGCTGTTGGTTGAAAACAGGTCACAGGATTGCGATCCCCAGGAGTAGTATAGCCAAAAGAGCTTTGGTCCTACTTTCCACTTTAAGGTAAAAAAAGTTTAGGCTTTAGAACCACTTTAATTCCAATAATTCACAGACTATTTTTTGTTTTTTTAGTAAACATCTTCTTTGCATGATTGCACTACAGTAATAAAGTTCACAAAAATACATTGCACAGCAGATCAAATAAATAAGCAATTGTTGTTTTTCATTCCAACAAGACCCGGAATGGTGTATGTGTGAGCACTAGGGGAGCTGACAGCGAATTTTTGCTATAAGCAACATGAATTATTCTTCGTAGAGATATTTTGGTTCTTAAAATGATTGTAAAGGCTCAAGATTTTTTACCTTCATGCATTCTCTTCATCCCCAGCCCCCCTTATACTTACCTGAACCTCATCGCTATCCAGTGAAGTGAACAACTCTGGGGACTCTCCCTCCTCATTGACTAAGATAGCAGAGTCAATAACAGCCAGTAAGCCAATGAGGAGAGTGAGGGGGGCCAAACCACAGCTCTGAGTGTGAATGGACACATAGAGCAGTGGCTCGGGAGACAATCTACTTGGGTGCCCCCATAGCAAGCTGCTTGCTCTAGGGGCACTTGGCAGGAGAAAGGGGCCAGGAGCGCTGGCAGGGGACCTGAGAAGAGGAGGATTGGGACTGCTCTATGCCAAACCATTGCACAGAGCAGGTAAGTATAGCATATTTGTTATTTTCTTTTAAATGCCTTTAATATCACTTTAAGATCTGTGGATTCTCCCCAGTGCTACTAGTTGCAAGGGCTTGTTCCATCCTTGAAAGTTACACCATGGCTCCTATTTTATTATGTTATTCATTATAATTTCTGCAGCATAATATAATAGCTGAGTAGGGCCTACATACCCCAAACATATTAAAGGCACATGTAGAAACATATTAAAGTAGAACTAAAGACCCTTTTTTCATTTTGGATAGAGTAAGGGAGGGTTATAACCCTTGTCAGGTTTTTTTTTTCCATCTGTGTCCCATTGGGAGATTTTCCTTCACCTTCTGTCCCATAGCTAAAACAGAAAGTGAAAAGAAATCCCTCGAAAGTGAAGGAATCCCTGGTTGTCACCTGGGTCATCAGTACTTGTGACATCATTGGAAGATTTCCCCTCTATTAATGTACTGGGCACAACCCAAAATTTGGGAGAGTTTAGTAAAATACTGTATTAATATTATTATTATTATACAGTATTTATAAAGCGCCAATAGTTCGCTCAGCGCTGTACATTACAAAGGGGGACAGAACATGTGACAGAACAATACCAATACAATGCAAAACATGTGGGGATCAAGGGCCCTGCTCTTTCGAGCTTACAATCTAGGAGGGAGGGGATGGTGGCACAGGAGGAGATAGCTGTGGGGGATGGAGTGGTAGAAAGAGTGGAGGAGGTCGGCAAGTTAGCAGGGGGTGGGGTAGGCTTCCCTGAAGAGATGGGTTTTCAGGGTGCGCCTAAAGGAGAGGAGAGTAGGTGATAATCTGATGGGTTGGGGCAGGGAGTTCCAGAGGATGGGTGACACCCTGGAGAAGTCCTGGAGGCGGGCATGGGAGGAGGAGACCAGGGAACTAGAGAGAAGGAGGTCTTGTGAGGAGCGGAGTGTGCGTGTTGGGCGGTACTTGGATATTAGGTTAGTGATGTAGTTCGGGGCAGTATGGTGGACAGCTTTGTACGTTAGCGTTAGGATTTTGAATTTGATCCGTTGCGCAATCGGAAGCCAGTGGAGGGATTGGCAGAGGGGGGTGGCGGATACAGAGCGGTTGGAAAGGTGAAGGAGTCTGGCAGCTGTATTCAGGATGGACTGAAGCAGGGATAGCCAGCGGCGAGGCAGGCCAGTGAGGAGGGAGTTGCAGTAGTCGAGTTGTGATATGATGAGGGAGTGGATGAGCTGTTTAGTGGTTTCTGGGGTTAGGAACGTGCGGATTTTGGCGATGTTGCGGAGGTGGAGTCTGCACGAGTTTGTTAAAGATTGGACTTGGGGTTGAAAGGATAGGTTGGAGTCCAGAATGACACCAAGTACTCGGGCCTGCAGGGCGGGTTTGATGGTATTGTTGTTGGATGTGACGGAGAAGTCAATGGGGGGTGGTGTCCGGGCTGGGGGGGAAGACAAGAAACTCGGTTTTGGAGAGGTTCAATTTAAGGAAGTGGAGCGACATCCAGTCTGATATGTCGCTCAGTAGGTGTGTGATTCGGGCTGAGACCAAGGGGGTGAGGTGGGGGGTTGAGAGATAGATTTGTGTGTCGTCGGCATAGAGGTGGTAGTTGAAGCCGTGAGAGTGTATGAGTTGGCCAAGGGAGGAGGTATAGATGGAGAAGAGAAGGGGCCCAAGGACAGAGCCTTGAGGGACCCCAACAGAGAGGGGGAGTGAGGGGGAGGTGGTAGCATTATAGGTAACGCTGAAGGAGCGTTGTGACAGGTAGGATGAGAGCCAGGAGAGACCAGAATCTCTGAGGCCGAGGGAGTGTAGTTTTTTTTGAGGAGGAGGGGGTGGTCGACTGTGTCGAACGCCGCAGAGAGGTCGAGGAGTAGGAGCACTGAATAGTGGCCATTAGCTTTGGCGGTTAGCAGGTCATTGGAGAGTTTGAGTAAGGCAGTTTCGGTGGAGTGTAGGGGACGGAAGCCGGACTGTAGGGGATCGAGGAGGTTGTTGTCGTTGAGGTGAGAGCATAGGCGGGTGTAGACTAGGCGCTCGAGGAGTTTAGATGTAAATGGGAGCAGGGAGATGGGTCTGAGGTTGTTCGGGTCATTAGGGTCCAGGGAGGGCTTTTTAAGTATGGGGGTGATGTGTGCATGTTTCAGAGGGGAGGGGAAAGTGCCGGAGGAGAGGGAGAGATTGAAGATGTGGGTGAGGGAGCGTAGGATGGAGGGGGAAGGAGGTCGTAGGAGTTGTGAGGGGATAGGGTCGAGGGGGCAGGTGGTGAGGCGGGCATCAGAGAGGATCTTGGAGACTTCCTCGATGGTAGTAAGGTCAAAGGTGCGGAGTGTTGGGGGAGCTTCAGTATGAGGAATGTAGGGTGGGGTGGAAGAGGAGGTCAGAGCAGTGGTGCGGCCGTGGGAGAGGGGTGATGAGGGGGTAGCTGAGTGAGGGTGAAGGGGGTTGGAGAGAGTTTGAGCAGCGACGAAGTCCCTGCGGGTTATGTCGAGGGGAAGGGGGGATAAGGGGGTAGCTGTGTGAGAGGGGACGGGTTGAGAGGGCGTGTGAGTTGTGGCAATGTCCTTGCGAATTGTGTCAATCTTGTTTTTGAAGTGATTGACAATCTCAAGGGCAGTGAGTGAGGTGCTGGGTGGAGGTGGGGGTGGAGAGAGTAGAGTGTTGAAGGCGGAGAAGAGTCGGCGAGGATTGGAGGAGAGGGCCTTGATGAGGGTCAAGAAGTAGGCCTGTTTGGCAGCATGGAGGGAGGAGGTGTAGGTGTGGAAGGCAGATTTGTAGCGGGTGAAGGCTTGTTGGGATTTGGTCTGTATGTGCTGTATTGTCACATAGACCTGAAATTGTATCTAAACTATTCTCAAAGTATATAAAAATTGAATATATGTCCCCGTACACTCTATGACAAGGCCAGGCTATAAAAATAATTTAAGCTACGGTCTTTTACTGTACAATTATGCTCACAGCAATCCATCCAAACTCAATTATTAGATTTCTTTTTTACTGATGCTATTAAAAAAAAAAAATGAAATCTTACCTCAAGCCATTCCAGAAATTCAGCTATCTCTAGACCAATAAATCGAGTATTTTGCACAGCAATTGCATAGTGTACATGGGAAGAGGTTAGCCAATTAGCAATGATGACATTAATTTGCTTTTTACTTGACTTGAATGTAGATGCCATCTTTGGGATCCAGGGTTCCAAGTAACCATCAATCTAAAATTATGAGAAAAGATTTAGAGATGAATATATATATATAAAAACATTTTTGATCCATATATATTAGAATGACATATGTTTTGATGTACTGTCTAGACATATTCTATTATGTGGCATACATATTTTATGTTATATGTATAGGCAACAAAAGGGGTATAACGTAGAGAAACAAACTTCATAACATGCTCCCATTACAATTTTCCTAAATACCTTTTCAGCAGGAAAAAAACATTTAGATTCACAGTTTTCACATTTTGCGCTTTGTATATACACATTCGACAGTGCTTCATTCTGACGTGAATGGATTTTGCATTCTGCCTGCAGTTCATAATGAAGCATATGGCATGGATTTACATTTATTCTAAATGAGCCCTAAGGCTAATTATCTGAGAGATTACAAGAATATTTTTAGCCACTAAAGAGAAATATGTATGGAATACATTTCCTTACTTTGTATTAGATAGATAAGATACTTACTTTGTTTTATAATGTTTTTGGTCCTTAATGTAAATATAAATAAAATTAATGTTATTATTTTAATTATTTGTTGATCTGCCTTTAAAGTCCCATTAAATGGGGGGACACTTCCACAATTGGTCCTTTATGTCAACACCTCTCACAAGAACAACTACCTATAATTATTAAAGAGGAAATAATAAATAATACACTCTCTCAATCCATAATAGCTATCTTAAAGTATTACTAAACCCGCAACGGTAAAATTAGTGTGTATACTGTATGCAGTAAAGCATGCTTGTTATACTCACTGTGGAACCTAAAGGGTTAATCCTCTGCATTGTGTGAAAATACTGTTTGATCCTGTCTTCTCTTATCCTCCCCTTCCTTTACTGTCCCCAATACATTTGCTGATAGTATGAAGCCCTAGGAGACACTGAAAATGTTCAGTTTGGTGTGTATTGCTAGACAGTTTTTTTTTTTGGGGAGTGTGCATGTGATCGGTACAGGGCCAATCAGCACTGTCCAGACAGAGGGTCAGGGGTCATGCAGCCTCATGGGACAGTCAGAGAAGAATGAAAACTCCTCCTACAAGCTTTAACCAGTGCTTGACTAGAAACTGATAGATGTCACAAGACAGCTCTAACTGCTGATGGGAAAAGGTATTTAGCAGTTTATATTTACTAAAATTATTGCATTTCTATCTTCTGTGTACTGTGGGAGACCAGATATAGTGAATGCCGGGTCCTGGGTTTAGTAACACTTTAATACTAAGGACTCATGCACTTTGCCATTTGTAAACTGACAGTTTTTAGGCATTTGCTGTTTTTTTCCTGAAGCCCCTGAACACCCCCCTATGTTATTCTATGTATCCATGCACGCAGAGGCGTTAAGAAAAAAATACATCAAACATGTGTAAATGTGTCTAAACACATCTCAAATTTAGGAGTGTTTTTACAGTTTTGTGGTTAAAAGATAATTTTTTTTCATGTTGATGACAATTCAGGAAACCCTGTGTACACAGGAAATTCCTTGTCACCAAGCCCAACCCTGCTGTTCACACAGGTGCAGAGAGAGACACAATTGCTAGGGAAGTGAGCCAGTCACAGCTGATGGCAGCTTTACATTTGCACCCCAAAATTTGGGAGCAGTCCATTCTAGATATGCGACCTTAAAATAAAAAAATTGCACTGAACGGTAAAATACCTAAATCAGCAGCTAGCACATGATTAGATGCAAAATGGCTGCAGAACTTAGTTTCCTGAGATAGTCCATGCACTCTAGAGAGTAAATTGTTATTTAATTATTTTTTTGCAGGGAGGAGGGGGTTGTGCCAGTGTTTTTTTTAACGTTCGTCTTTTTTATCAATTTTGATAAGAACTTGTTTTTAACATTTTTGTTTTCAAAGTTTTATTTACATTTTCCATTTTTGATGAAAAATATTTTTTTCACTTACATTTTTTTCAATTTTTCACATTTCTTCTTATCTATTTTTTTTTAAATATTTTGACATTTTTATATTTAAAAAAATGTTTTGTGTTTTGTTTTTAATTTTTTTATTTCTAATGTATACTCTTTTTAGTACAACATCCATCTGGCCTGTATATCAGCCAGAGGAGGAGGACAATGTGAAAGAAGAGGCTAGTCCATAAAACCCAGCCACAGCCACAACCAACATCAATTCCATTAAAGGTTGAAAGAATTGATGTGCCACCTCATCAGGTATGTTCCTTTTTCTCATTATATTTATGTATGTACTGTATGTATGTATGGCATCCCAGTCTAAGTCTGTAGGGTTCAATATTGAGTTGGCCCACCCTTTGCAGCTATAACAGCTTCAACTCTTCTGGGAAGGTTTTCCACAAGGTTTAGAAGTGTGTCTTTGGGAATGTTTGACCATTCTTCCAGAAGCGCATTTGTGAGGTCAGGCACGGATGTCGGACAAAAAGGCCTGGCTTGCAGTCTCCACTCTAATTCATCACAAAGGTGTTCTGTCAGGTTGAGATCAGGACTCTGTGCAGGCCAGTAAAGTTCCTCCATCCCAAACTTGCTCATCCATGTCTTTATGCACCTTGCTTTGTGCTCTGGTGCCCAGTCACGTTGGAATAGGAAGGGGCCATCCCCAAACTGTTCCCACAAAGTTAGGAGCATGAAATTGTCCAAAATGTCTTGGTATGCTGACGCCTTAAGAGTTCCCTTCACTGGAACTAAGGGGCCAAGCTCAACCCCTGAAAAACAACACCATAATTCCCCCTCCACCAAACTTTACACTTGCACAATGCAGTCAGGCAAGTACCGTTCTCCTGGCAACTGCCAAACCCAGACATGTCCATCAGATTGCCAGACAGAGAAGCGCGATTTGTTACTCCAGAGAACACATCTCCACTGCTCTAGAGTCCAGTGGTGGCATGCTTTACACCACTGCATCTGACGCATTGCGCTTGTTGATGTAAGGCTTGGATGCAGCTGCTTGGCCATGGAAACCCATTCCATGAAGCTCTCTATGCACTTTTGTTGTGCTAATCTGAAGGCAACATAAAGTTTGGAGGTCTTTAGCTATTGACTGTGTAGACAGTTGGTGACTTCTGCGCACTTCAGCATGCACTGACCCCGCTCTGTCATTTTACGTGGCCTACCACTTCGTGGCTGTGTTGCTGTTGTTCCCAGTTGCTTCCACTTTGTTATAATACCACTTACAGTTGACCGTGGAGTATTTAATAGCAAGGAAATCTCACGGATGGAATTACTGCACAGGTGGCAACCTATCACTGTACCACTCTTGAATTCACTGAGCTCCTGAGAGTGACCCATTCTTTCACAAATGTTTGTAGAAGCAGTCTGCATGCCTAGGTGCTTGATTTTATACACCTGTGACCATGGAGGTGATTGGAACACCTGAATCCAATGATTTGTAGGGGTGTCCCAGTAATTTTGGCAATATAGTGTATGCATGTACTGTATGTATGTAAATATCTATCTATCTATCTATCTATCTATCTGATCAATACGTACATTATCTGCTTTCTTTCTTCATAGCCTACTTGTCCATGAACAACATTTCCCACCCAGAGGTCATGGACACTCTCATTGTCAAGAGATGACCACACAAGTGGAGGAGAGAATAATTGAGCTACTTGTGGATATTAAGGGAGAGAGAAGATAGAATCCTGCCACAGTTTATATATGCTTCTTGGGGAGCTTGATGTTCAATGCATAGAAAGCATCTATTCCTTTGTGTTCACCTCCAGGGCAGCACAAAGGAATCTTTTGCCACCATCACACTTTCTAGCTGCTGCTGATGGAAGCTTTCTAGGCACTGCCCTTCCCAGTCCACACATGCACCATTCTGCAACTGTGGCATGCCTCTCTTCCTCCTCTCCACCAATCCGCACCTTCTCCATGCCTGAACCCCACAGTCATACCATCCCTATCCCACCATAAATCCCTCTCAGTTCTGATCTTCCTGCCCTACTTACCACCAACTTTAATTTTATTTATTTTTTTATGGCACCTTTTTGTTTCATGCTGTGTTCACAGTTTATAAATGCATTTTTGCATTAAAAACATGTTTTTTGCCTTTTTTTCCAAGTTAAATAATAAAAAAGATTTCAAATCATAGTGTTGATGTATATTTATTTAAGTTACACATAACATCCCACTTTTCATGTGTGTGGGTTAATTTGTCCATTCTTTTTAGTAGGATTGATCATTTTACGTCACATGGATAAAAACCAATTCATACATTTTCATGCATGTGGGGAAATGTGTCCATTCTTTAAAGGAAAAAGGGCTCTTTACCTGACATGGATGAATACCACATCACACATTTTCATGCGTGTGGGGTAATGCATCCATACTCTGGGATTCTTTGGTATATAGGCTTGGAACCAGCAGGCATGCATTTTAGCTCTGAGGAAGGGGGTACGTCTCCCGAAATGCGTCAGCTTATCCCTATCAAGGGCACAGCATTATTGACTGTCTTTGCGGACTACATCATTTGCTTTTAATTTCCTTTGGTTTGTGAGTATATATCTATTTTTTTACACAATAAATACATGGCGTACCACGGTAATGCACGATGAGAGTGCATCCTTGTCTGCTTTTGTTCACCAGTGTCTAGATTCCCCGATCTTTGAAGGGCAGCACCTCTTCGTTTAGCATTCAGAATTGGCTTTGGTCCGCATGAGGATTTGGTTTTGTTTGTTTGTCTTTGGATTGCTCTGAGAATGGATGCCTTACCTCAAACAGATGAAAAAGACAAAACTTTGCAGCGAGGGAAGAAAGTCACAAAAAGATTATTTGAATAACTTTGCTCAAAGGAAAAAAGATTTTATTTTTTGAAGCACACAGGCATTTAAGAACATTGAAAGGTAACTGGAACAGTATAAATCCAACTATACATATTGATCTGGCCAGGCCACTTGACAATCTGGGGAAAAAAAACAGCAAACTGTTTTCTAATGTTCATAACTTGAGAAGTGGAGCACAAATCTATGAACTTAATATCATGTGCAGGGTTTGGGGGTGCAAGTTCAGTGGAG